TGAGGTTGTTTGTGTCTTGGATTTGCATTGCTTAACATTCAGTGTCAGCTTGGATCCTAAAAGTAGTCGAGCATTGTCGTAGATCATCTCTCAACATTCAGCCACAGTTCTTTAGCGTGACTGTGTTTTCCTCTGCTTGTTGCACTGGGATGAACTGCAGCTTATCTTCTAAATACAATATGAGAAAGGGTTAAACTGTGTGATGTAAAATCTTATGAAAGCTACTAATCTGTTCGAATGGCTCAGAGGGATTAAGCTTGTCAGGAGAAAAAAAAAAATCAGCTTGAGACGTTCTTTTTTTTTTCAATTTATGTAAGCTGTGGATGGAGTTCATGAGGGGTGATCAGTCTTGATGACCCCCTCCCCCCCTTTTTTAACCATCCCTAATAAAACTAAAAAATATTCCATAAAGTCTGACAAAGGTCATTCATATAGATGATGTACATAAACACTTCAACTTCCCTTTGCAATGCAGTAAATCATCACTTTATTAATTTATTTTTGGTTCTACATAGTTAATCCCATAAAAAAGTAATATGGCCTGTGTTTTATCTCCCTTGGAGTTGCACATGTCATGGAACTTGACTTTTTTCTTTACTTTTGCAGCACATTGCTAGTGCTACCTTAAATGTCTGTGACTCAACACATTGATCTGTTTTATGCAAAGCGTGCATGCCGTCATGCATCTGGATGAAGATGTTTATGCATGATACTGCAGAAAACATGTGAGTTTAAGGAACTGAGAACAGCAGACTCCTTCCGCAGTGCTCTTTAAATCCTCCATGCCCATGCTAGGCTATTGTCCGTGTCGTACATATTCATTCCCAATCTGGGTCTTCTGGTTTAATCTGCATTGTGCTGATCACTTCATATTTTAGAAACAAAGCCCCCAGCTTTAAAACATAGGAGGAATTTTCCTGCTGAATTTAGCAGGGCTACAACAAATGGTTATTTCAGTTTCATTGCTGCATCTCAGTACAATTGTTTTTTCTTAATATGTTTAAAAAAAAATGTTATGAACCTTGAACTGACACTACAAGACTCAAAAGTACAAACTGAGATAGACGTCAAAGCTTGACACCGTGAAAGAGGAAAACAAACTTAAAAAAGGCACTTGTTTTTTTAATTAAATGCACACATTTTAAATCACTTTGGGAAGTTGAGATTATGTCATTTAATAGTTGAGATGATTAAGTTCAATACAAAGCTTACAAGAGGACTTAATAAAATTAGTTTTGTCAAATTTCGTTGTGTTCAACGGTGAGAAGAAGAATGAATCATTTCAATCTGTAAAAGCACCACAAAGTGAGCAAGATTCTTTTTCTTTCAATACAACTCCAGGTTTTTCAGCCGAACATTACAGAAGATTAACATGCAAATCCCTTCTGTTGATATTGGATAATAAACTTTTTCAATTTTGCTTTAATAATTTAAGGAAACCATAAAACTGTAAGAAACAGTCACCACTGAAGACATTTTACATTGGAAAGTTTCATAACGTTCTACCATTCAGCACCACAAATACTTCAGAAAGGTGAAATTGTCTTTTTTTTTTTAATAGAAAAAAAGCTGGAATCAAAGAATATATAATTCAAAATATTTTTTGAACATTTTCAGGTCATGTTAAAGAGGTAAAGACTTCTTTATGTCAGACATGATCTGAAAGTACAGCATTTAAGAGCATAGCTTCCCATTGTCTTATTTTTTCCGTGGGTTTTTGTGGGAGTTTTGCTGCACCAGAAGACAGTTCAAGTGAGAAAAGATGGATGCTGCGACGTGCTGCTGAGAAAGATAATGAATGATGTCAACTGTGGGTGGTGAAGACCATCAGTAAAGCGTAATGGGTCCCAAAAGAGAGATGGGATATTGACCCGTCCGCCACTTTTTTTCCTTCTCCTTTCCCTTTCTGTCTTATAAATACACACTCACACACACTGAGGACGCATAAATACCAAAGTGTCCTTCTTCAAGACCCGCAAGAAGTGCTTTGTAGTACCTTGTGCCTTGTTTAGTTCTTAACTGGGGAACTGATAGCGGGTGTAAGTTTCTGAGCTGCAACATGTTTTCCTTTTAAGGCAAATAGATGGTTTGTTTGCTTTCCCTGACTGATTTTCATCTGACAGACTTTCTGTGAACTGTGGGAGAACTCAGAAATGTCCCCTCAGATGCAGAAGGCCAACTTAATCATCCCCAGGCTTATTTGACTTACTTCAGGCAAAATTCTTTGATATGGATTTAATGGGAAATTGCTCAGAGCCTTTTTGGCATCCTGGAAGCAGAATCAGCAAAGCATTTTTTACCTCCTCCTGAACTCTGAAAGGCTTGCAAATCCTTCTGTCTTTCCGTGTGGTTGGCATTTCCCACCTGATATAAATCGCTTCATTTCGGAGAGGCAGTGGCGGTAGAATCCTTTATTACCGTCCTGTGTGGACATATGTGTGTCTGTTTCCCTTAACCCTTCCTCATCCCATCGATGATGCATTTTTTCATCCCTTTAACCATCTGCTCGCTGAATTTGTTTTGTCATTGTTTGCCCTGTGTCAGTGGTCAATACGCCGTGGGGCAGCTCTGGCCCTTACTGTCATCAGAGGCAGCCGGGGATCAGCCTGCGATTACAGTGATTACAGTTTGTGCTTACATAGGGCTCCTGCGCTTTGTGCCACATCTCTCCTAGTCAGCTGGCAGTCTGGCTTCTAATCTGCCAGTCATAAGAAACGGCAGACGGGGGGGAAAAAAGGAGGAAAAAGCTGTAAGTGAGGAAAAAGGAGGTGAATAAAGATTAACAGTTGGGGGCAAAAATAAATAAATAAATAAATAAATAAATTCTCTTAAGCCCTGTTTTTCAGATCTTATCGGATAGATGCTGATATCCAGATGATTGTGTAATCTTTAATCACTTCCTTTCATTATAGGTCCAGTGGAGAACAAATAAATTAGATAAGTTAATGCCATGCAGTAATCTCTTTATTTTTTATTTTATCCGGAAACTTCCCAAGTGAACACCTGCTGGAGCTCGTTACGAGCTCCTTTCAGGATGTGTGCAAACGTAGACCCCATACCACTATTCACATTTCCTGCATTACTTATCCTGATTTAATTTCCTTTTCATGATGTTAGAACTGCGCCACCAACATTTTTCTATTGTGGCACATGCTGCGAGAAAAATCTCCCCTTTTCAGTTAATTGCAATGCTATTGATTTGCATTTCATGCATTTGATTGTAATTGTTTCTCCACTTCATTTCACTCCCTTGTAGTATTGGCATTGGAGCCTTTAGGACATTAGAAAAATCCAATAAGGTCTTCAGTGGTTATATGTGTTTGAAGGTGTAAAGATGCATTGGGATATTAAAATTTGGGTTGAGTTTGGCTGACATTAATCCATGTTAAATCTTTCACAAAGAATTCCTTATAACTTACTTTATGATTAGAACTTAGTATCTGTTCATAGCATCACTTATAGAGTTGCATTAGTCCAAAATAGATTTGCTATCAATTTGAACAATTTTATGTATCAAAAACCAACAGCAGCATTCAAGTTTGCAGCTGTTATATACTGCTAAGCAAAAAGGAATTGGTAAACTCTGTTTTGCAACCCTTTTCCATCTCTGCTCCGACCTTATGCTGGTTCCATCTCTTCCATCCACATCACCCCTGCTTCAACGTGACACCAAATTCTAACCTATGCTCTCACATCCTGATTACAAACCTTTCATTCCTAAATAGGCCGATATAGAAATTGGAGTGGGGAGGAGGATGTGGAAAAGAGAGGGCCCCATAGATGATTTTCTCAGTTTCATAGGCTTGACCCCTTATTCATTTGACCTGCATTTACTGCCTGCGAATTAACAATCGGTTGACAGGGACAATGCTGCTGAGCTTACTGGGTTGAGTGAGTGAAACGAACGATAGGGGCCGATTCACGAACCCATAAACCTCACATGGGAGCAACTCGGCGGACCATATCTTATTACTGGGTTAGCTTGAAATGAGATGGGTCCCTTTTTGCCTGTCCCTCACTGTGTGGATTGATTAGTCGGCAGCCAATCAATGTTAATTAAGGTGTAGAGAATCCTTTAATTGTGGCGTATGAATCATTGTGTCCAACCCTGCCTTGACCTTCATGAGGCCTGCACTTTGAACAGTCCTGCCGGGGAATAAATACCTTTTTATAAATTGCAAAATAATTATAGTTTGTAAACGGGTATGGATTCTGCTGCTATCCCGTGAACGCCATAACTCGAGCCCTGAGATCGCGTACGAAATTGGTGCACGAACAGGATGGCCCAAACTTCATGTGTTGCTTTTCATTTTGCAAACAGATGCAGAGCCCCCAACAGATCAATACCTGTCAAAACGTTTAAGAGTTAATGTTGTGAGATAAGTGTTGCTATTATGTGAGGCGAGAGGCGAGCTGTGCATATGAAGTGGGGCTTTGATTGATGACCGCCAAGAACAAAATGGCACATGATAATACCATAGGCACCATAATTGTGTTTTTTAATGAAGACCAACATTTCTTGTTGGAGCTGATTTTGCACTCAGTTGATTGTGTCTGCCCCCTCCTCTCCACTACCTCCGCCTCAACCATCCATCATGCGGTAATAACAATGCAACCTGTGTGTGGCCTGATGGCAGTCCCACGACTTCCAGCTCTGCTGCGCCATGGAAAGATGAATTTGCCCCTGCCAGTACCACCTGAACCTTAAAAAGGGGTGACCTTCATCCCGTCACTCATGTCACGCAGCACAACTCAATAGTTTTCAATCAAGTAACACTGACGCTCCAAAGCAGTTCACACACAAAATTGCAAAATTGTTTTGCCTCTTCAAAGTGTGCGGTTCCTGCATGGATCTGTAGCTTTTAATCATCGCAATCTTGCTGCAGAATTCAATATTCCAAACTTCATTAACCAAATGCAAAACATTTGATTAATGTGCCGCTGTGTATTGTGACCCGTCGCTGCTGTTTTTTGACGGAATACTTTTTTGATGCTTTCAGATGTAATAACAGGACCCAGTGCGCCGTTGTTGCCGGACCCGACGTGTTTCCTGACCCTTGCCCGGGAACCTATAAGTATCTGGAGGTCCAGTACGAGTGCGTACCCTACAGTAAGTATTCCCCGGCCGTCGCGCAGAGATGAGCACCTCCCAGTGCTCCTAACCAGGCTCATTTCCTCTCAATAACAGTGACTCATCAACAGCTCAGTCATTGGCAAGCTACTGCTGCTCCAAATGTTCACAAACATCCCAAACGTGTCATCCAATTCAGGAGAGCAGATTAACACCCGGCATTCGGGGTGACAAAATGATGTATGTAATCCGTGTATGAGCAGAGAAAATGTTATTGACGGTGTCTACGTGTAAAAATTATAAATGAAATTCAACAGAATGAAGGAATGTTTTTTGATGTGCTGTTGTTTATCTTTCAATACTATATTTGATATAGTTGGCAAGAGATTGGAAAGCTTTTTTAGATGTCAAATATTTTACCATTTTGCCCACCTACACTTGATCTTGTTTTTAGTACCATCGGTTGTTATTAAATATACAGATTTATAGTGATTTCAGAGGCAAGTGATTTGATATAAATGGGATTTTTTTGTTTTGTGTTACAAAGCGGACAAAGATGCTCTTCCTGTATTTAACCAATGGCAGCTTTGGCTCTCCTGATATCCCACATGTCACTCTCTGTTGCCATCAGCCCCCAACCCGCTCACAGTGTTTCTATTTCTTATAGGAATCATATCTGATCTTGTGACGTCTTGCAAGCATTGTAGCAAAAAAGGCCGCTCACGTTTCATCAAAATGAAACATACTTGTTGTTTTCAGTTCAGTTCAGCTCAGTGGACCCGAGCAAATGTTCTGACTACTGAGGCATCTCAGAAGGGGGTAAATATGAATGATTTAATTACTTCAGCAGGTGAAAAACACAGCCAGGCTGCACAGAACTTAAGTGGAAACATTTGGGCAGGGAAGGGAAGGATCAGCATGGGGTGACAGGATGAGCATGCAGAGAGGAAATCCAAGTGAGTCCAGAGGAAGTGGGATGGATGTTGCCATATGACCTCAGGTATTGTTTTTTAATGACTTTTGAGCAGACCATCAAAGTCAAACTTACCATACCAGCTATGACTCTGATATCCACGAGCCCTCTCAGATATGACAAAAATTTCTGGAAACGTATGTTCCTGGGCCTTTAGATGTGTGGGTTGCAGCGCCTGGATTGAAGTGAATTTGAGTAATTCAAATTCAAATCAATCCCATCTACCTAACATTTGATGTTCTTACATGGCTCCCTCAGAAGTGTGCCTGACAGCAGCTTTCATGTTGGGATGGGAGCGCTCTTTTTTTTTAACTTGTAATCCAAACCTGGAAAATGGCTCTTTTATACCTGACTCCATGCAATATTTTTACTATTTCAGCCACCCAGTGTCTTTTCAAGGTGTCCATGTAAAACACTGACTCAGCTGCAGCTACTGCAGTGGCCACAACTTTCATCAGTCCTCTAGTTGTGGAGCATAACGGTTCCTTTCAATCTGCAATGATTCTTCATCTCGTGATGAGGTCATTCAAAGCAGGATCAGACAGGATCATGACACCCTGGTATGTATAGGGTGTCTGGTTAAATGAACCCCCGCACACAATGGCATCTTTTTTTTTTTTTGCAAAGAAGCACTTTTCTTCCAATCTGTAACAATTCTAAAATCCCATTGAGGCACACTGTCATAAACCATAAATTGATATTGAAAGACTAACTCCTAACGCAGAGCCCATGTTTTCCTATCTTGTCTAGACCCCTATTAAAAATGTCACCATCTAAGCAGAAAGGCATTCCCCCATACCCTTGCTAAATGGGGTATTTCAATTCTGTACCTTCTGGCAGCTGTAAACTTGAGTAAATGCATCCAAAATAGAAAATGAAAGGACAAACCATAATGAAAAGGAACATTGTTAAATCCTAACTGATGTTATGTTCAGACCTTGTGTTTGGGAAAAACATGGAGTCATTGTGTGTTTCCTGACTAAGGATGTGCCAAGTTACCATCACTGGGAAGGAGAGAAAAAAAAGCTGGCACTCCATTAACACAGCAGAAGCTATGTAGGCGTTTATTTATATGCTGAGTGTGATGGCAAAGTGTTAACTCAAGCGGTCACTAGAGATGGATTTTAGGGCAAGATGTGAATGAATTCAGTTTTTTTTTTTTTCACTGCAAAAGTTTAATGAAATAGGAAAGGGAAAACAAGGAATCCTTCCGAGATTGGGGATCTTATTACCTTTTTTGCATTAACAGTCACACTCTCAATTGGCATCTAAAATAATCACCTTCCCTGCAAAACAGAAAAATGTGCTGTATTCCTTTGTGTGTTAATTGGCAATCATGTATGGAGAGAGACGTGGCAGCTCAGTCTTACAAGTTTCTGGGACACACTGAAGGATTTGAGTGTTTAATAAGAGAGGCAGCCACCCATGACTCTCCTTTAGTGGCTCTGTAGACTCTGTATTCCACTGACAAGCTCTATCTCAGTCCTAATACTCCTTTTTTTTTTAAACTTCTTACAAGTCTCTCTCACTCTCACTTACATTTTGTGCTTTAAGTGCTCTCCATTCTCCCTCCCCTATCCATCCATTCCATTATATTCCTTTATTTGCTGTTTACCTGTTCCTTCACTCTGCAGTGTTGGTCATCCCTTCTCTCCTTTCGGCCACCTTCACAGCTTTTATCTGGGGAGCTTCTTTCCTCTCTTCATATCATTATATGACGGTGTGATTATACAATCAGATCTGCCATTAATAATGGCCGAGGAATGTGCCAAATCGATGGACACATGCTGTAGATACAATATTGATTTCATTAATTTGTGATTTGATCCGCTCCATCATTTGTAATGACAAAAAAAAAAAGAGAAATGTTACAGTAATTACCGGTAAGAGTGCCAGTGTTTGCCTGTGCTTTGTGGCAGTGTCAGAGCACAGACAATCCATCATATTTCCATTTGAGCTGCTTTATGAATGATTGTTTCATAGGAGCTGTTTTTTTTATGAGGGTATACATTTTTGTTGAGTGATGTGGGAGGGGAGCAGTAGTGAAATGAGGTGAAACCATGCAAAAAGAACTGGATTCAAATTCTATTTGGAAAATTCACATAATCTAATAGTATATACCTGCATTTATCCTCTTTAAGTTAGAATCGAGTTGAAGGAGCATCAAGTTCCCCTTGTTTTTATTCATATATTATTTTATATTGTCTAAACATACTTTGTACCAGCACTAGTTTGTACACCCTCCCCAATGTACTTTACAAATGAATACGGCTACCTTTAGGCAAAAGTGATATGCTGACCCATTGTGATGAGTCATAAACATGACTATGCTCCGGTGCCCTGACATTTGTCTTTGCCCCGCCCTCTCACCGTGACCTTCCACAGTTCGGTGGAGAGATGCATGTCTATTCTCACAGTGGCTTATTAAAGCCTTTCTCCTTCGCTTGTTCCATCCTTCTCTCGGTGTAACTTTCGTTTTAACAGCTCCTCCCAAAAGTCGACCTGATAAGAGGTCAACACAACTGCGTCTCCCTCCAACACATCCAGTGTTCTTCCCCGGCAGTAATGAAGCACTTAGATCCCCTCGGTGGCCCCTCAAGCTCTCCGACCTGTCACACAAGACAGCGCTTTCAACCCCGCGTCGCCATGCTCTGACTCTTCTGTTGCAAGAGACTCTTTTTTTTTTTTGCCCCTCAAAGTTGTTGAGAGGTTGTAGTTACCTTTCTTGTCTCTCTCTCTCTGACAAAGCATCTCTTTTGAGTAATTAGTTGTACCTCGCTGTGTGGTTTCCATGGCAAATGAACTGATTTGGTCTGAGCGTGTGGTCAAAACGATGAGGTGGTGTATAATTACTTGGTCTTTCAGGGAGATGCTTTTGTTCCATCCACTTTGCAGAGCTGACACTTGGATGTATACGGCGGATGAGGTGGAGGGGGAAGTGTTAGACAGAAAGGCAGGGATGAGAACAGAGTGGAAGAACAAAGGAAGAGAACCTGCTGGCAGTCTGTAGCAATACATAAGCCACTAGTTCCCCCCACTGTTTGTAGCTAATAAGGACAATGTAAAATCCTGTCTCACACAGTGGGATCCAGCTCAGCCCTGCTCACACTTTGGATGCCAAGACAGATCACAAAATCATGCAGTCACTTCTCAGATTTCTTCAGAAAAGTGTAATCCAAGTTGCATGCTTCATTGGAGGTCCTGATATAACTTGTCGTGTTTGTATTTTTTATCCAAATTCGCCTAATTGACTTTTAATTCATTTAGCTCCTAATAACACAAACTGATTCAGGAGGTCCTGTTGGAATTGTAGAGTAGATTGTTTTGGCAAGTTTAACTTAACACCTGCTGCTAGTCTTTATCCTTCTGTGTTGGCAGGTGAATCCATGAAATTGATGCTCTGCTCACAGCCATCACTCAGAATACAGCTTGGGTATAATGTGGGGTGATTACAGGGTCTGTTCTGGAGCAGTCACGCTTTAAGCGTGCACCACCTGTGTGACCAGTACAGGACTTCATGGCTGTTATTTGAACATTGTGTCTCTGCGGGGTGGTTTTGTGTTGTAATGCCATACAACACAGGCTGAGCCAGAGGGGGGGGACATTCTTTAAGATCCCACTTTCCTCTTTTGAAACAAGAGCAATTACGTAAAACTAGATCATCAGTGTTGTATATAACTGTAAACAATGTAGATGTATTTATAACAATTATAACAATAACTTAGACAAATTCCCCCCTCCTATTAATCAGGAAGTTTCCTAACTTGTACCTTGTCATCTCTCATGTAAATATGTCCACCTTATTGCAGTACAGTGACTGATTGGAATGACAGAAACACAATATTTTATTTGTCTTGGATCACACCAATGCTGTGAAGGACTTGACGTCATCTACCAAAATGACAGTAAAATCACTCAGGCTGTATGTGCTAGTACTATAAAACTGTAAATAATAAATTAAACAATCTTTGACAGGGGAAACAGTTGTGGATTAAACAGATAATGCAAGCTGGCCAGCATGCGAGTGTAGCCCAACAGTGGATATTGTCACCTCTGACATTTTTCT